ATTTGAATATAATTAACTGGGGGAGGCAAAATGCTGGTAAGGTGAATGTCTGCCTTGAGAAAGGGCCCATGCTCTCTGCACAGGAAAACTGTTCAGTTGAATTAAGGCTATACAATTTTCTTTTTTTTTATATAGATAGAATTAAAAGGGAAATACGAGATACTGAAGGTGAAGTATCCCTTGGCAGGATCTGGCTTATTGATATCTGCTTTTGCTGGTGCATGTGTCAATCACAGCTGTGCAAGAACAGTATTGCCCTTGGCTTTCCATTATAGATTGCTACAGTTAAATCACTTAAACCTTTAAAATTTAAATCTTTAAACCATTGTTGGTTACAAGAAAAGCTATAATCTTTTTTTTTTTTTACACGTATATTACCTTTCCCATGTTACCCAAGACTGCGATTTCTCTGCAAGATTCCAAAGCCCTGGGTGAGGGCAGGTTTATTCACCGGGGAGCAGCTCTGCATCCTCAGAGGACCGACGGGATGGGACCTGCCCATCTCTCGGGCTCCTGAACGGCAGCAAGAGCCCTTCGCACTTGCCGATGACTTCCCTGAATTCGGCGTCCTCTCCCCACGTAAGGGACGAGACCAGATGAAAAACACATTTGACTGCAAATCCGGTCAAATCCGCAAAGTACTTGGTCCGAATTGAATCACTGCATTTCACGGCTAACGTTTAACATCTCTAATCTAATTACCTTTCTGTTCAATCGCAGTCTTAAATGGTTATTTAAGGGCATTCCCTGGGGTCTTCACACCCTTCCTTGTCCTATTGGATTTGCCTTTTAGGTTTAAGGGAGAAAAGAGTGTGAATGGCCGTCTGCTATGGAGAACTCCCACCGGAGGGGTTTTCTTTGGATTTGCGTGGAAGCTCCTTGACGGAGAAAAAGGGGAAAAAAATATAAAAATTAAAAAGTGAGCCCAAGGACAGGAGGGAAGAAGGAAACCTCCCGCGAGGTGCGTGGGTTAATGTGCTGTGAGAATTGCTTGATACAAGCTGATTTCCTCTTCCCGGCGCTTCAGAAGGTGGAGGTCGCAAAGGCTGCGCCTGGGGGTCGTGGGAGAAGCCGGGGGGGAAGAGCGTGCGGGCTCTTGCTGCGGCTGCCTCCATCCTTCTAGGCAAACTTTCCACTGGGAAGGAAGGAAGGAAGGATTTAAGACCAATGACTGCAGTGCTTAACTCATGAAGTAGCCGAGACGAGGGATTTTAGCGCGGGGATGGGAACTGGGGTGGGTGCCTGTGGGCGTGTTTAGGGGGGTTTGAGGAGAGGTGTCATCGCTTGCTCCTGTCGTGACTTGGCTGTTTTCCACTGAGGCACGGCACGAATGCGGCATAAAGGCAGGAAAGTGCGTGTGATGAGGGGGACGGGCCGGCCGGGGAGGTGGGGGGGACCTTCCGAGCCAGCGGGGGCCCCGGTACAACCCGACAGCCGCTCCCGGGGGTTCAGCTCCCCCGCCTCCGTTTGTGTGTTTGCTTATCTGCAAAGAAGGGACAGGGGAAGAGGGAGGACGGCCGGCGAGGAGAGAAAAATAAATCAATTGCTATTTTTCATCTGTGACAAAGTAATTAAGGCTTGCTCCTCCGCTCCGCGGGCCGCGGAGGGCGCCGGTTTGCGGGCAGCCCCGGCCCCGCGGGGGAGGCACCGCACGCAGGGGTCCCCAGAGGGTTCCTTCGGGGAAGGGAGGGGCTGTCCCCCCTTTATTTGGAAAGACCACGAGCCCCCTGCCCTGGAGCAGCCGCCTTCCCTCCCAGCTCCCTTTGGGAAGCAGACAGGGGATTCCTCCAGGCAGAGAGGATTTTTACGTCGAGGGTGGGTGGCTTCCCCACGGCCCCCGAGGGAGGGATGTGTGTTTGGTGTGAGCTGCAGGCGAGGAGCTTTGCCTTAATCCCTTAGGGACGTGTTGTGGGCTGGGAGGGGTGGTTCACCTGCGGGAGAGGCGTTTGGGAGGGACGGTGAGAAGGAGGTCGGGAAAATCATTTTAGTGAACCTTCTGGTTGTTAACTGAGAAGTGAAAACCCCGCGCTGGGGGGATTTGGTTTGGTTTTGAAAGGAAACCGGAAATCCGAACTCGGGGTTTGGACCAAGAGCAGGTGTGTCCATCCCAAACCGCGTGGGAGAGGGCAGAGGCAGTAGAGAGCTTGGCTGTACGGCCCCGAGGGCCAGACACGGAGGAGTAGGACAAGGGAACATGTTTGGAAGCAGAGCCGTGTTTCTCCGTGGGTTTTCCTCTCGATCAAGAACGGATCCCTGGCTCTGGTCCTCAGCGAGAACCTCCGGCCGTGCCTCTCCATTAGCCTTCCCAGGGGCACAGAGGGGTGCTCCTGCCTTTTCTGAAAATAAAGGAGATCGATTCCCCTTTTCCAGGCGTGAAACCTCGATGTCACGTTTCAGTGCTGGTGGGGAAAGCAAAAATACCGCTTGGAAAAAGAACGCGAAGGACGAGTTTTGCCCATTTTTTTTTGAGAAAACAAAATAAGGCAACTCTGTGAGTCCAGAAGAGGTTTGGGGGCCTTGACGACCAAAATACTTCTTGGGCTGCTGCTGAGTTGTCTCTTTTGATTTGGTCCGTGCCTTCAGAGGCGTTAATGTAAACTGAAGGGCAGCACAACGGAGCAAACGACCAGAGGCTGGAGGATGCCTCGAGAAGGAAATACTGCAAAATACCACCGATTTCTTCCCCTCCCTACTACAGCCAGCTTCTGTGTGCGCCCCTCGATTTCTGAATAGACCCGTGGAGAGTACACGGGGGTCGTAGAATGGCTTGGAAGGGATCTTAAAGCTCATCCAGTTCCACCACACCCCTGCCATGTGCAGGCACACCTGCCACTAGACCAGGCTGCTGTTCCACGTGGTAGAACAGAGGCAGGAAAGTGTCTCTGAAGACAGGAACATACAGCAATCCACACACACAGTGTGTGTGTGTGTGTGCGTGTGTGTGTGTGTGTGTAAAAACACCTACATGTGCATATTGCAGTTATCTACCCGTGGTGTAGGAAAGCTCCTGCGCCTGAATATGTTCGAAGCAAGATCACAGTGAGTAAAACGACAGCTGTGCTAAAAACGTGCCCTGGAGCTCTGCTGTGGAGCAAAAGCGTTTTTCAGCTGGGAAGACAGAGCGATCTTCGAAAACCGATTTTGAACGTTCTGCTCTGCCGGCTCCTCGGCTTTCGCGGGTCTTTCAATAACTCTCGAAGTGAGTCTCAGCTGACACCCGCGGTGACGAGGTGGAACGTGAAAGGAGTCGGAGCGGGAGCTGCCTGCGGAGGAACAAAGCTCCCCGGCCCCTGGCGGGGGTGGCATCTCCTGGTGGAAGGCAAGGGCTCTGCGGAACGGTCTGGGATGCCTCGGATTTATTTTTTTTTTTTTATTTTTTTTTTTTAAATTTACTTCGTCAGCTGAAGCAAACGCTGGTAACCCATAAAATCAAGGACGTAGAAGAAACGCGTGTGGTGCTGGCGAGCTGAGCCCCCCGCTCCACCCCTCCCCTCCCCGGCATGGACGCACGCCCTTCGCACAGCTTACGCTAAAATGTAAAATACTCTCCGGAGCAGGTGACGCCAGCAGGGTCTATGCGGAGGAACGGCACC